GTGATGCCACCTTTCCAAAAATGGCCTCAGTCTCCTAAGTCCCCTAAAATGCCTAAGGAGGAGGAGGAGGAGGAGGAGGGCACAGAGGGCAGGAGGAGCTCCCACTAGATGATGATGATGATGATGATGATGATGATGATGATGATGATTCAGTGAGAGAGCAAAGGATGGGCACACAAGACAGATACGTCCACATTATTATTATTATTATTATTATTATTATTATTATTGCTGCAGTAGATGTGCCCATTCTCCAAACTTAGGGTTTCTTAGGGTTTTCTTAGGCCAGGACTCCTCAGAGGTGGCTTTGCCAGTTCCTTCCTTCTTCCTTTCCTTTCCTTTCCTTCCTTCCTTCCTTCCTTCCTTCCTTCCTCTCTGACCTTCGTTGGTGGGATGTGCAGGGAAGGGGACCCATGTGCCGCAATGTGTATATTCACAAATATATTTAATTCTCTCTCTTTCACACTACACCGTCATAGACTTCCACAGCACTTGAACTGGGATGGCTCCATCCCATGGAAACCTGGGATCTGTTGCTTCGTGAGACTTTTCAGCCAGAGAGTTCTAGTCCCCCACCAAACTACAAATCCTGCTTTAGCTATCATCCCAATCCGTGACTGAAATAAACCCATCCGTTCATTCCTTGACTTTAGTGATCAGGACCTGCATGGCTTTGAGTGCTGGATTGTGACTCTGGAGACCAGGGTTTGATTCCCGGCTCAGCCATGGAAACCCACTGGGTGACCTTGGGCAAGTCACACACTCTCAGCCTCAGGCGAAGGCCGTGGCACAAACCTCCTCTGAAGAAATCTTGCCAAGAAAGGCCCAGGATAGGGTGGCCTTAGGGTCTCCCTAAGTCGGAAACCACTTGAAGGCACACGACAACAACAGAGAGGTAGCTTCGTGAGATGCTTAGAATTCTCAGCCCAAGAGATCTAGTCCTTCACCAAACTACAAATCCCAGTGTGATTGAACTAAAGCAATTCATCCATTCATTGACTTTGGCATTTGG